GTTGGCTCGATCGACGCAACAATGAAAAGGCACTGAGTGCAAACCCTCGGCGCATTGTGACGCGCACGCGTAAGATGTAAAACGCATGCGCGCCAGGACACTAATAGATGGGCGGGTTTAGTTGTAGCGTTACTCGAGGTCTCTTGCCGGCTCGCGCAGAGGTACGCAGAGCACGCGGATCGATCAGACAGCGTAAGCCATCCCGTCCGTGTCGTATTGCATATTGGCTTTTTCGCGCTCTGGCTTTGCAACGGAGCAGTTTCAGAGAAACCCCACAAATTTTCTGACCTTCATGCCCGTTGGTAGATGTATCGTTTCTGGGACGAACAGACATCGAGAGGTGAGATGTAGAGTAACAGACACACAGGACAGACAGACACACACACCCAATGAAACGCACTAAAGTGCAAACCCTCGGCGAAGTAGTAGAGTAGCTCGCAGAGAGGTCTGACACGGGCTAGCTACAGTAGTAGATAGCACGTGAGAGTCGATACACGCCATTCGTTGTGAATTCTCAAGATAGACAGAGCAAGCGGACCCGGGCCTGTGCTAAATATAGCGCATGCGCATTATCCGCAGCGATAAAATGGCGACTACTGGCATGCCGTACAATGCTGGAAACGCTCTAGCTTTGCAACGGAGCATTATCAGAGAAAACCCCACAAATATTCTGACCTTCATCGCCCGCTGGGTAGATGGTATCGTTTCTGGGACGAACAGACATTCGAGAGGTGAGATGTAGAGTAACAGACACACAGACAGACAGACACACACACCCAATGAAAAGCACTAAAGTGCAAACCCTCGGCGAAGTAGCTCGCAGAGAGTCTGACACGGGCTAGCTACAGTAGTAGATAGCACGTGAGAGTCGATACACGCCATTCGTTGTGACTTCTTGTGCCTTCAAGATAGACAGAGCAAGCGGACCCGGTAGAGGTAAGCCTCTGCTAAATATAACCGCATGCGCATTATCCTCCAGAAATAAAATGGCGACTACCGGCATTAGCCATACAATGCTGGAAGCGCTCTAGCTTTGCAACGGAGTATTTTCAGAGAAACCCCACAAATATTCTGACCTTCATTGCCCGTTGAGTAGGTCGTATCGTTTGTGAGACGAACAAACTCGAGAAGTGAGATGTAGAGTAACAGGCACACAGACAGACACACAAACCCAATGAAAAGCACTAAAGTGCAAACCCTCGGCGAAGTAGCTCGCAGAGAGTCTGACACGGGTTAGCTACAGTAGTAGATAGCACGCGAGAGTCGATACACGCCATTCGTAGTGACTTCTTGTGCCTTCAAGATAGACAGAGCAAGCGGACCCCGTCGAGGTAGCCTGTGCTAAATATAAGCGCATGCGCATTATCCGCCTACGATAAAATGGCGACTACCGGTATTAGCCATACAATGGTGGAAGCGCTCTAGCTTTGCAACGGAGCATTTTCGGAGAAAACCGCCTTAATTTTCTGACCTTCGTCGCCCGTTGGGTAGATGGAATCGTTTGTGGGATGAACAGACATTCGAGAGGTGAGATGTAGAGTAACAGACACACAGACAGACAAACCCAACTACAGTAACCCTCGCTGCGCATGCGCGCCGAGGGTTAACTACAGTACCCTCGCTGCGCATGCGCGCCGAGGGTAATGAAACACCAAGGAATGGCCAGTGAGCACTGTATAATCTCTCCTTTCAACGGCAGCATTTCTGTGTCTGCTTGCAGAGGAAAACATTATTATGCTGTGTATGTCCAGTCTGGGACACAAATTTGTTCCTTGGTGCCTTTTCAGGTTTCTCAAAAGTCGAAAGCGATCCATCCCATGTAATTTTGAGCATTCAAGTGCAACCACTAATTTTACAGTAGGCCCAAAACAGAGTGACAACTAGTACTTATAGTTAGTAGCTAGTTGTTATGATAACACTGCCCCTTAATCACTCTCTCTATATTGGAACAGTTAAGCTATTGCTCAGACCCTTTCCCCCTCCCATGGAGAGGAAGAAGAGGTCTGAAGACCGGAGACACAGAGTCGGGTACGACAGGTTCCGTTGCAAATCAACCTTAGGTAGTTAACTGCATTTTACGGCGTTAAATATCCTAAGGAATATTCGCAGCACTGCAAGAAAGAGAGAGATTAAACTACTGACAATAGCAATAGCATATCCAGAGGGTGATATGGGTGTTCGAACACCCCCCTTATGACCGTGCCAGGACCATGTAAGCACACCCAAGCGTGATTGCGCGTCGTGATACTGTGCATGCCTGGGGTCTGGGTTTCCACGTGTTGTGGTCAGCTGCGTAATCTAGCGGACCTGACCACACCAGGAAATTGTCGCTTCTGAATTACTTTAAGTCAGTTCCTGCCCTCTTGCACATGCACAATAATTATTACACGGTAACACCCCCTATTCGCAAATGTTGCTCAACAAGTGCTTATGCTAAGAGCCAGAGACTGTCCCTCTCGTTTTCATCTCTAATTGTCTCCACCCAGTACTTCAAGCAGCTATCAAGAGTGTTCTCGAGGTGTCCGCACAGAATTGCTTCTCACAGGACACACCTCAAAAAGTCTAGTTTCGTGGTCCAGTTTTCCGAGTGATTTGAGTATCCGAGTTATCCGTCTGAGATTGTGACTGGAAGTATTCAGCGCAGCAAAACGCTCAAGATAGCATTCACTTCTCTCGACTTCTCCTAAAGAACATTTATTATAAGCCACCATTTCATAGTTCATCAGTTCTATTACTATAGCTGCTCACAGGAGATACACTGTCCTACGTTATTACCCTCGGCGCGAATGCGCAGCGAGGGTACAGTAGTTAACCCTCGGTGCGCATGCGCAGCGAGGGTTACTGTAGTATGTGCGTGTGTGTGTGTGTGTGTGTGTCTAGTCTGTTACTCTACATCTCACCTCTCGAATGTCTGTTCGTCCCAGAAACGATACCATCTACCCAACGGGCGACGAAGGTCAGAAAATATGTGGGGTTTTCTCTGTAAATGCTCCGTTGCAGAGCTAGAGCGCTTTCAGCATTTTATGGCTAATACCGGTAGTCGCCATTTTATTCGCTGGCGGATAATGCGCATGCGCTTATATATTTTAGCACAGGCTTACCTCGACCGGGTCCGCTTGCTCTGTCTATCTTGAAGGCACAAGAAGTCACAACGAATGGCGTGTATCGACTCTCGCGTGCTATCTACTACTGTAGCTAGCCCGTGTCAGACTCTCTGCGAGCTACTTCGCCGAGGGTTTGCACTTTAGTGCTTTTCATTGGGTCTGTCTGTCTGTCTGTCTTGTCTGTTACTCTATATCTCACTCCTGGAACGTCTGTTCGCCCCAGAAACGATACCATCTACCCAACGGCGACGAAGGTCAGAAAATAAAGGCGGTTTTCTCTGAAAATGCTCCGTTGCAAAGCTAGAGCACGAAAAAGCCAATATGCAAATACACAACGGACGGGATGGCTTACCGCGGTCTGATCGATCCGCGTGCTCTGCGACCTCGGAGGCACGAGAAGATGCAACGCAGGGCGTGTATCGCCTCTCGCATGCTGTCTAGTAGTGTAGTTAGCCAGCGTCAGACTCTGTGCGAGATGGCTAGAGACCAGGAGTAACAGCCAGAACTAAACCCAGCCCATCAATTAGTGATACAGCGCATGCGCATACTCACGCGTGCGCGTTACAATGCGCCAAGGGTTTGCACTTCAGTGCTTTTCATGTTAGTCAATTAATAAAGATCATACTTAACGGAAATGTATCAGTACATTATTAAGAAGTTTGCACTTGTAACCAGTGCATGAATGCTTTCCAATTCATTTTCAGAATTATTATTAATGGGTGAAAAGTGACTCTATGGGAGGCACGCTTATATTCATGTAGAGAGGGTCCCCAAGGGATAGTTAAAAATGTTTATATTTCAGCTTTACAGTACATGAAGAAAGGGACAAAAAAACCAAAAAAGACAGGCATACAGACTCTGTGACATGTACTGACAGAACACCAAAAAAGTGTTGATGACCTAGGTGGTAGAGTAATTAGTTGATGTTGATGAGCAAACGCACAGAGAACATGGGCAGAAAATGTGATTCAAAATGTGGCCAAAATGCTTCAAGAACTTGATTCCGAATGGTAAGAATAGAATGATCAAGGTTAACAGGTGGGAGAGAGTTCCAGAGCCGTGGAAGTCTATTGAAATACAAGTGACGTGTGATGTTGGAATTACAGAGGGAATGCATCAGCTTCAGGTGGGTTTAAGACTGGGCATTGACTTCAGAGAAATGTACGTACGTAAGACTGCAGGGGAAAGGTATTAGAGGGATCAGGGGTCTTGAGGCAACGGATGAAGAACACAGCTCAAGTTGCATAACGAGAGGGAGAAGTCTGAGTGACAGTAAGCGATGCTTGTAATCTGACTTATAGTCGTTCAGAATATACTTTGTAGCATGTCGCTGGATTCGTTCCAACATCATAATATCCTTGATGAGATGGGGCCTCCAAATTTGTCAACCGTATATAGGACAGTTGAGAACGAACTAAGAGAACATAAGTTCTTTTTTAGCCTTAGTATCAAGGCCAGAGGAAAATGAACGCCGAACGAGGCCTAGCACTTTGTATGCTCGAGAGGCAATGAACTTGAGATGGTTATTCCATTTAAGATCGCTAGTTCTTGTTTATTATCACTAAGTACGGTAGTACTAGCATAATAGGGATGACACAGGTTGCTTGCATTATGCCCATACATTTGAGATTTGTACGTTTCACTTTCAGTTTCAATTGTGGCATATCTGTCTGCTCCGAATCGTCACAAAGAGCATATCCAAGAAACGGCTTAAATCGCATAATCAGTAGCTACTTGATATATTCAGTTTTCAAATTTCTTTTTTTGTTGTTCAGTTTAGACAAGCGTATCTGAAAAACAAGGTAAGATATGGAGATGAAACTTTGCACAGATATAGGAATCCATGACAGGTCGTGCAAGAGTATTTTTTACTCGTAAACAGTATTGTTTACATGTAAACAACAAAAAACAAAACAAAATAGCCCCAGGCAATATATAGAGGATTGCTAACTAGCTAAAGCTGATACCCAGAGTGATAAACATATCAGAGAGTCGGTAGACTCTCTATATAGGGATGAGACGGGTGAAATCTCACGTGATCCGCGTACAAAACGACTAAAAACTCGGTGAGAATCACTCCCTAGGCCTTCAAAACATACTAGCAATAGTCTACGGGCCCATATCTACCTATACATGTCCCCCAAGACCTCATACGCACCTTCAGTCGTCCACGCGAGAATTCGCTCATACGCGATTTCACGATTTTCGTGTCATCATCATATTCATCTCTTCTTCTTCTTCTTCTTCAGACCCGCTAGCTCCTTACTGGAAGCACTTGAAGCATTGATTTTTTCACAGAACGTCTTCGAATTTGCCGGAGGTGTGCACGCATATCAAGCGATCGCTTGTTTCTTGCCGCAAGTCACTACGGTAGATCGTTGAGCTCTTCCTCGGTAGTCACTGAACAACGCCATTTGCTGCTAACTCAGCATCAGTGAGCCGCATGCGCCGAGGAGGGCGTTTCCAATGCGGCGCGCGCGCATTTTGTCTCGTCCACGTACGAGACTAAGCCAGGACTGGATGCCTGCAGAGAAAACTACTCTCATCCTCCAGTGCCTTCTGTAAGTCAGTGTACACATTTGTAAGTGGCTATCTTGCGTTTTGCTGTTGATTTGCACGAGGAGCAACTTGGCAATCTGCGCCGTGTTACGCAGGCGCCTTCATTCTTTGTCCCCCGGGTTATAGCTATCATTGTAGTCTGATTTCTGAAGCTTGCCCAATGAAACCACCACCATATGTGCCACAACCTAATCGCGTCCTTGTTGGAGACACTACGCATTACACCCTGCTTCAGGTAAGAGCAGTCCATTAGCTTCTGCTCAGTTATCTCACAACATACCCATGAACATCAGAGTGACTGAAAATGCAGTGTTGTCATAAGCCATTAAAAATAGTGGAAACAAGTGGAAAAATCATTTCTTCAAAATGAAAGGGGGATATAGGGATGGCTTGAAGCACCAAAAAGGAAGAAACAAGGGGTCATTACACACCAAATATGCACAAAGCCACATGACACCATCCCTATATCTTTGTTTTATTGTTCATAAGCAAAGTTTAATATGAGACAAAGATATAGGGATGGTGTCATGTGGCTTTGTGCATATTTGGTGTGTAATGACCCCTTGTTTCTTCCTTTTTGGTGCTTCAAGCCATCCCTATATCCCCATTTCATTTTGAAGAAAATGATTTTTCCCACTTGTACAATATACAACCCATCATTAGTAACAAAATTAAGTCGCGAAGTACGAGTGTGCTCGCTTGTATGATGCACAGCTATGATTATTACATAAGCACATTAGACAGGTAACACCATCTGCTCTGTTTTCAGTTGTGACTGCATTGTGTGAAGTCTAAGACTTCTACATTTGCTGAACTAACCAATGCTCCGTTCTCAGCCATATACATACAGAATCCTTTCACCATTGTCCTCGCACTACACAGTAAAGGTGGTGACAATATAGGGCGAGCAAGCGATGTCAGTTCAAAGTATGTAGCCGTCATCCATTGTACTACTGCATCACATTCACTAGGTCATCACTGTCTTGTCTCCTTGCTTTTTATGGCATCCCTATATTCCACACTTTCGAAGAATTCTTATGGACTTCTGGAGGCTCTGGACATACGTATATGCCCGTGACTTGCTAATGGGTTAATTGTTGCGAGTGGTGGCGCAAACAATCCTATGCAGGACTCCAGATTTCTCAACTTTTCCCCTGGTTTCTGGCGCGTCGCTGCGCATGCGCGCAAAAGTGTCGCGCTCTGGTCAAGCTTACCATCCGTAGGATGGCTGCACGTTATCCCAGCAGTGGCATGGAATATCTTATAATCTTTTCACCATTTTTGGTATGTATATGAAAATAATAATAACTAGTGGAAATGCTTGGCATTTTGGCATTCTTTGGGCGAGCGGAGCGAGTCTTAAGTTTACTGTAGCTGAAATATATGCAACCATCATCATTACTAGCAGGAATATATAGAATAGAAGAGCTGCCCTAGGTGGGATTCGAACCCATGACACAATGCAGTCTAGGCAAGCGCTCTACCAACTGCACTAAAAGGGCCACTCAGCTGGTATAGGTTCAAATCTTCAACACAATACAACTCAAATGCAAACTTCAAACCACTGTACTTTGGCACAGTATACTCTCTCACTCAGTATGTAGGAACACACCGTGGTAATTAAACCACTAAAGGTGCCCAACTCTAAACTGAGTATATACATCTGAAAACTACTGTAGAAAGGTAAATGTACAACAAACAGGTCAACTACACCCAGGACTGTTTCCAAGGAAAACAAAAGAGCTGCCTACTAGGTAGGATTCGAACCCATGACACTCTTCAAGGCGAACGCTCTGCCACCTCAGCTACCAGTGCCACTCAGCTGGTAACATCATTTCGTGTAGCGGTTCACCGT